TTATGCTCAACGATGCCGAATCCCGACGATGATTTGGTGAGCTTACAATAAATATTGCCAGTAAAAAGCAAATCTTTTATGATTTGTTCGATTAAGAAGTTTACAGATGTCGGAAGCACTATAAGATTATACCGACGTCATTAACTCGTATAAATCATTATTGATATTGTGTCGGAAATCTCAAATTTAACAAATAATTACTTATCTTTACCGACATAATAAATCAATAAAACAAAACATTTCATTCATTAAAACATTCAAATTTCATTCAAAATCAAAATAACAGTACGCTTTCAAAGAAACAGTAAAACAACAAAATAACATAAAGACGTCAGTCTTCTTTAGTCCCCGATGTCGACGCTTTTCCGACATCAGAGAGTTGAGGATTTTCCATCTCAGCCTCCCTCCTCTCAACGCCATCTAGATGATCAATCAACCTTTGGCTCAGACGCTGAACGACATCCTCCTCCTTCTCTTCCAATGCTCGGACGACATCACTCTCCTTGATCATAACGACATCGCCATCCTCGTGCAAGACACGATCATTGTCAGACGGGACTGGGTCGATCACCCATCCCTTGGCCTTGGCATCATCCTCTGCCACCTTGCGCGCAGCATAGCCGACGATTGCACCCAGGAGCTCCTCATCCGATAAACCCTCAAATGTTTCGGTGACAAAGGCCTCAGCAATCGTCTCCACACATATGTTAGCCATCTCGGGCTTCTTGGCCTTTTCCACCTCAAGCACCATGTCGACAAACGATCGCCTGATTTTCGCCTTTCGCTCTTCCGACAAGGGGACCATGTCCAGCTCCAGCATCCGACTCTCCTTCTGCTTCAGGAGTCGGTCCGCAAAGTCCCTCTCGTCCTGGTCGGCCGGGATATGGGCGTTCTTCATCTCTGGGTTGAAGCCGTATTTTTCCATCTTATGCAGCAAATAAACGCGCAGCTCATCTATAGTATACACGCCGCTGTCGACTCTGTCGATCACCCACCGTAAAGCCAAGGCGGCGTTCAGCTCCAACTCCCATTCTGTCGTCGCCCCGGCATCAACTGCGTCGTCGGGCACAGTTACCGATTTCTTGCCGACTTCGATACCCTCCTGGAACTTAAGCTCGGCGGCGACGGTCATTTCTTGTCGGAGCTTGTTCATCGCCACCTCATGAGCCTCCCGGCTTCGGATCAGCTCTGCATCCTTGTCGGACCGGTCTTTACGGACGGCTTGAAGCTCAGCCTTCAATCTTGTGAGCTGCTCGTCCTTTTCTTTGGCCACCTCGGCAACTTTGGCCAGCTCAACCGACGTCAGGTCATGGGCCAGCAATAAGTTCTCTTTCTCGGTCTTGAGGGTGTTCACCTCGGTTAATGCCACCTGCAGTTCGGCATCTTTTTTTGACAAGGTCGCCTCGTGGCGAGACTTCTCATCCTCTAGAGAAGCTATAGCGCCTTCTTTCAAGCTCAGCTCATGTTGTTTCTCGTCAAGTTCTTGAGCTCTGTTCCGATAACTATCTTCAGCTGCAATGAAACTGACCAGAGCCCGGCCCAAACAGCCACGGGCATAGCTGAACTTCTGGTCATCTGGTAATGATGCGATCCCCGCATGAGTTTTCGGGTCCCACGACATCAATGGAACCTTCGCTGCTTTAACTGCTTCGTCGGGGAATCGCTGGTTATTTGTGATTTTTGGCTCCACGACTGTCTGAAACATCGGGAACCAGGGGTCGAATACACCCTCTGGCAGCGTTAACTCTGCCGCTTTCTTTTCATTAATTTTGAGGAAGGAATCCCTCAAAA